TTTTTTTTTTTTTTTTTTTTTTTTTTTTTTTTTTTTTTGTACAGGGAATCAAACTCAGGACCTTGTGCTTGACCTTGTGCTTGTGAGGCAGGTGGTAGAACCAATGAGCTAAATCCCTGGCCCTTTCATTTTTTTCATTTTTTGGTACCAGGGATTGAACTTGGGCCCTTGCACTTGCAAGGCAGGCGGTGGAACCACTGAACCAAATCCCAGGCCCCACCTTAGATTTTTATTTGCTCAGTCTGCAACCCTACACCCAAAGCATGGAGTAGGCACTGAAGGGCTGAACTTGGCTCTTCCGACAGACAGCTGGGGAGGGGACAGGCTACAGGGAGGCTGCAGGCATAGTCTCACAAGAAAGGATCTTTGGAGAAGAAGGAATTGTGGTTCTAGCATGCAGGGTCAAGACTCCCACTTTCCTGGTCGTCCCTGAACCTGGCCTCAGAGAAGGTTTATGATCCTTTGCTTGTGATGTGCTGGGCAGAAGCTGTGGGGACCCAGGAGAGCTGGGGCTTTTGGGCTCTATCTCCAAGGCCCTTGCAGGAGAGACTCCAGTCCCAGTGGCAGGGCCCCTGCCCTCTGTTTTGTGCCTAGCCATGTTTTCCAAGGCCTGTACCCACAGTCCCTGGGAAAGAGTCCTGGGTGGTTCTCTGTACCAACCAGCCTGGTTCCAGAATCAGCACAGAACCACGATAAGCTATTAGCCCAACAGGACCTCCGGCGTGTCCCTCTGGGATGCTCAGTCCCCAGGGGGATAGAGTAGGACAATTCTGCAGGTGGCACCTGTCATGTCTACAGAGCCCAGTGAACATGACCCTCTTGGGACACAGTGAGTCTTGGGCACCACTCTGGTACCTGCACCCAACAGCCCCTGGAGCCAGGACCTCTTCCACTGCCTTCCTTCAGGCTTAGGGCTCTGCCGGGGACCACCCCCTAAAGGCCCTGCATCCAGGCCCAGACCTCAGGTCTCAGGCCACCTGCAGGCCATGCCTTTCCAGGAGTGTAGGTGGACTCCTTCCCTGCCCTCGGAGGGTGCCACCCTCGGCCTCCCTCCCCACTCGCAGGCACCAAGCTCACACCTGTCACAGCTGTGCAGACCTGAACAGGGGCTCCCCTATGCATTCTTTTGGTTCTCTGCAACTAGAAAAAACAGGGCCCGGAGGTCCCTGCCTGGCATGGGCCATTGTGTGACAGCCGTTGAAGGACAGAGCCAATCCTAGTGCCAAGTAGGAGGCCTGCCAGCAGCCGACCAGCCTCCTCCACTCACAAGGTGGCAAAGGGCACTCTACACGGAGGGGCTAGGGGCTGCTTAACTTGCTCTGAAGGGAGATTGGGGTGATGGGGGTGGTGGTAGGGACAACCCACCAAAGCCAGGGCTAGAAACTCCAAAAGGCTTTTAAAAAAGTGCCCTTCCCTCCCATCCGCTCCGCCGGTCCCCCTCCCCCACCGCAGCCGCTGGTGGCCTACAGCCAAGACTGGCCAGCACAGCGCCCCGGCTCCCGCCCTCTCGGCCTTCCTCTCCGACGCGGCTGCTGCCTTCCTCACTCTGGCCCTCTTTCCACCCCCACCCATTCTGAGCCTCGTCGGCCACTTCCGCCCGGCGCCCCGCACCCGAGGACCCTTCAGCCCTAGGTCAGCACACGGGACTTTGGAGCCCGGGCAGGGCCGCGGGCCCACCAGGTCCCCAGTCCTGCTGGATGACCCGGGCCAGGAGGAAGGGATTTGTGTCTGCAGAAATCGTCAGGGCCGCCGCATTCCCGGGTCGCGGCTTCCACCTTGGAGCCGCACCCCTCGGCCCCTCGGGGCCCTTAACTCCTTCCTCGCCCGCGACACTAAGCGCCCCGGCCTTGCCGCCCCAAGGGGCACCGGCAGCACCCCTCCTCCCCAGTCCTGCTGGATGACCCGGGCCAGGAGGAAGGGATTTGTGTCTGCAGAAATCGTCAGGGCCGCCGCATTCCCGGGTCGCGGCTTCCACCTTGGAGCCGCACCCCTCGGCCCCTCGGGGCCCTTAACTCCTTCCTCGCCCGCGACACTAAGCGCCCCGGCCTTGCCGCCCCAAGGGGCACCGGCAGCACCCCTCCCCTCCGGTCCGTC